GTTTCAACGTGAACGCGGCTATGTTGCTGTTTTACGTTGTTTTTGCTTCATTTTGTGATACGATTATTTTTCTTGTAGCACAAAGCCAATGAAACAGTAGTACTGAACCACTTTGGGGACTACAAGGTGCATTTTAGCCTAAATTGCGGGCTTTGTTTTTTTACCAACTCCTTTGATGATCCGATTATGGTCGGTTGCGAAACGACTGACTGATGTACAGGGAAGATTACCATCGTCTACGGCCGTACCGGATGACACCTATTTCCAGGAAAGCAAACTATTGAAGAGACTAACACGTGAATGTAAAGAAGCATATCGACAGCTTGATTAGCATTGTGCTGAATCGACCAGAGCAGATGAACTTGCGAATTTACTACTCACTCTTTGGTTTTCGTGGGCACCCAACCTTTAGTGAACTTCGTATCGTGTAATGGCGCAGATAATTAATATAAACACGTAGTATCGTCTCAGGCCCTTTTTTAATTCAGTACTCGAGCATGTTTTGACAGGCCGAGTAGGAAATTTGTTAAATTATCAACCCTGCTAAAGAACTCATCAGCAGCATTTCGCGATATTGGCCCTAGGAAATAAACTATTTTTATATGAATATTTGCTTACTCAAGATATGATATAAGTGACATGCCCGTCAAATTAAACCAAGCATTTGTCTCCCGTAAAATTGGTCAATTAAAATTAAAGGGCGCAGGAGGAGAAATACCACGGAAAGTTTGGCTGAATTCAAGTGCTTGGCACCACTTTATGGACCTGTGTGAACAAACATTTATTTGTTTGAACAAATTCGCTTTGTAAATTTCGGCGTCGGCAGCCACCAAAAGTGAACCTCTATTCGCCATCGACAATCCTGGACTCAAGTAATTGCTATGCAGACGTCTTTTTTTTTTTTTTTTTTTTGCGTCAAATTGGCAAAATTTAAAACAGCATGCGCAAAAAAAAAAAAAAAAAGCGACGTCATTATTGCGCACGCGCCGAACCCAAACCGCGTTTTCGATTTGCAAATAGAAACGACGTTATTTCTTTGTGCATACTATTCTAAAAAACCCAATTGTTAAGTGTCTGTGGCAGTTTCTTAAGCGGGATGTCCCAACCTTTGTGTTAAAATAAATGATTTGGATGGCACTAGCTGTCTAAATATAATCAATAAATCACTTTAATGACTGTCGAAATGGGGGTGAGCACGGTATACAATTTCTTAAAATTTATAAGTAAACCGACCGATCGAATATTTACGTCGCAAAAAAGGAATGAGAACCACATACACATGTAGGATTGATATTATGAACAAACAAATCGCCTGAGGTTGACGTAACATTACTTCTAGCCTCAGATAAAATATAAGTTAAATGTTCGTTGTATCCCCTCCGCGAGTTTCTTCACATAATCAAAAGAAACAGTTTTCAATATATTATTAATACAAAGAACGATACTTTCAGGATCTACAGATAGTTTCCTTGCGCTCCTTCCGATCAAATGTGTGATGTGAACATACGCGCTTCTTACTGAAAATGTTCTGCTACTATTATTAAACAAACCTCAGTTGTCATAAGGACTTTTGAACCCTCATGATGTCTTAGTTGTCGAGTAGACGTATCGAACTACAGATTCCGAAGTAAGGCAAAAAAGCGCGGTGAAACGCGATGAAAAACACGAATACAACGCATCCGCCAAGGCGCGGAGGGGAGAGCGGAACAGCCAGTTGAAGCAGCCTAATGGCTGCCGCGTCACGTGATTCCAAGATGGCAGCGCCCATGCGGAGGAGGATGAAAAGGTCTATAGTTAGAATCACTCCCTAACATTAATAACTGAATAAAATAGCTTTAGTTTTTCTTTCTAGGCAATGACAGTCGCCAAAAAAATCCGAGAAATAAGTGAGCGTCGTTCATCTCCTCAACTCGGAGCCAGAACATGCGACCACATGGCCTGGTGGTGCCTATCCTATGCCTCCAAAGATAATCATAGCAACGCGCTGGTCGCGAATCCAATTCACTATAGGTGGCGCCACTCGTTTTCCAAAATGGCGGTTATACCGTTATAGTACGGGTTGGAGATGCTTGATTTTCTGAAGACCGACTATGGTCTTCAGAGAATCAAAATAACTCTCCCGAAGTTGCTAAATATGCTAACCCTAAAGCACATAGACGTAACTATTCTTTCACCCAAAGAATTACGGTCTTATTTTTTGTGTTGCGAGTGATATATGGTTACACTGGAGTTGCATTTGTATTGTACTTGCTTTGTTGCTTGTTTTTGATTTTTAAATCCACTGTTCTCTGCATTAGCTAATATTGTATAACTTTTTTTTTTCTTCCTTTTAATATGTATACCCTGTGTGTGAACTCGCATTGCCGCTGCTGCTGAAACTTTTGTGGTGCTGGAACTCGACAAGCTGTCCATGCAGCTTTTTTTCCCAGCCCCCGCCATTGTACAAAAAGGTTAATACACGTTGAATTGAATTGAATATACCAGTTGCCGAGCCTGTCTACTGTGCTGACACTGAGCGACGCAAATTATTCCTACTTATACGAGGAAGCTCGTATAAGTCACCTCTTTATCCTGAAAACAAAAACGGTGTTTAGACGCCATGTGGCACGTTTTGATTCTAGAACGAAACCGAAACTAACCTCTATTTTGGATTTAATTTCACGGTATTGGTCTTAATTTCGGATTATTTCATAACTCAAGATGTGTCTCACAACGTAATTATAGAGCTAAAAAAAAAAAAAAAATGTTTCCCGAAACTTTATTTTGTGACATACGTGTCCGATATAGGCATTTCAAAATATTTTGGGGAGTTCAGTGTCCCTTTGAAGGGGTATTTTATGTGCATAAGAGGTAACATAGTATATTGTATTTCTTGAAAAAATCGCCGCTGATGTTTGTGTGTTCTTGATGCCTTTTCTCGCTCAGACAATTGTCACATGAAATATTGAACTGCGTTTCGGGCATTTAATGATTAATTGCTTTACCATTATTCCCAGCACAATAATAACAGAATCAAGCAAAATTTTACAAAAGATCACCACGGATGATGAGGTTAGAATATGTTCACAAAACGTATAAATTAAGAAACGCTGTTCTCACTAGTAAAACCCACAGACGGAATCCGAGTCAGACAACAGAAGTGTGTCTGTATCTTAAAGCAACGCGTGGCGCTTAGGACTTTATATTACATCCAGTGTTTGAGTGTGTGTGTACCTTAATAAAAATGTCAGTTTTCCATACGCTAAAAAGAAAACAAAATGATAGCTTTCTGGAAAGTCTATATGGGTAAATGACGTATATTTGTGATCGTGACGTTTATTGGGGGCCTATATTGCTGCAATTTGCATTAATAATAATAACAATAATACAATTAAGATGTTTTAACACGTAGTATTTCAAGCTCTATAATTTGTTGCTTATGATCAAATTTCAAACGAGCGAACAAGTATGGCAATCAAAGCTGTGTAAATTATCATCACTGGTGCCAATTGTGGTCTTTTTAGTTGACAAGTTATAAAGTTATAACAAGATAACGTAATAAGACATGCGAGCTGATTAAAGTTTTAAAACCCAAGACGGGGTCTAGAAAGAAAGGATAATCACAAGACGTCTTGCGATTGTCCCCTCTTTTGTAGCCTCGGTCTTAGGTTTTAGAAATGTTCTAGTCAAATAAATGATTCTAGGTAATCTCAGACATCCACGTGAAATTACATTACTTTTCGGTAAAGCATATGGTGCTATCAAAAGCCGCGACTTTTGACAATCGGCAAAACCTCCTAAGACGCCGCCAATCTTTCCGGACGAAATGCACGCCTTTCCCCCCCCCCCCCCCCCCCCCCCCTTTTTTTTTTCATGAGAAAAAAACAAACAAAACGGGTTGTTTTTCTTTTTTTATTAATTACCAATCTTTTTAGAACGTTTAGTTTCTTTAATTTTTATGCGCCATCGTTTTGCTAATTTCAGCCTTTCCAGTTCGAGGGGACGCCTACCCGCATGCACGTCTGCTCGCTGCAATACGTTTCGTTGGCGTTGGAGACCGGCGAAACAGTAGCGAGTTTCACATCAGCCGCCGTTGCTCCGCAGCATGCTCCCGTTTCCGTATCTTCTGCAGCATACATTTGGCACCATCGAATTTGGCTTGCCGAGAAACAGATTCGAAGGTGTGAAATGTATGCTGCACAAGGTACGGAAGCAGGAGCAAGGTACGGACTCCGGAGCTATGGCGGCTGGTACGGTGCCATAAGACGTCACCGCAAGCACTGTGTGTTAGCGTTGCGTGTCCCTCACGCTGGCGTTTACTTCTATACGTAATACTAACTCTCTAATAAGGTACAATCACATGCCAGTCTTCCACACTACATTCGAACAGTGTAGTGCGGCAGCTCGACAGTGCTCGACGAAGGGCTGCAGTCCTCGTGATCGTTGTGCAGTGGCGTCGCTTTGGAGGAACCGACATTTTAGAAACTAAAACGTGTGACACCCGCGCCCCTTCGTACAGAAAATGGTGTAGCTTTTGCTGGTTATCGTATGAGCTGAAACGGAAGTGACGGCCTTCTTATACTTGGTAATTCTCAAACAGCAGAATATTTTGTTAAAAAAAAAAGTGCTACAATGAGTAACTTTTAGAGCGCATAGGAAGCTCCAAAAAAAGCGCAAGCACCACGTGACCGCTAGTTGCCACTTTTCCGCGGTTATAAAAATTTTCTTTCGTTGTGAGTTTGTTTTATGCCATCCTTTTTTTTTTTTTTTTTTTGCCATCCAAACTGTTTAAAAAAACTTTCATTCATGGAGCTATTCATTAATCGACATCAATAACGCCCCCGGAAAATATAAAACATTGACGCCTCCAAGTGATAGTTCTAAATTAAAATGAACCCCTGCAATCTGTTATGCTGGAGTTTAGTAGATCGTTACGACGACTCCGATAACATTACCCGATACTCCGCCGACGCCTTCGCGCATGGAACGTCAGGGCTGATATCATAGACAAGGGGCATTAGTTAAACACAGAATAACTGTTTTATTAGAAACCGGAAGTGACAAGCACGCTGTACAGATATACACAGGAAGCGGATGAAGGCGCTCATCCCTTCCTTCTCTCATTCTTCAATTGAATTCGACCCTTCATTCTTCAATCAAATTCGATATGCTAGGTTGGGGGGGGGGGGGGGGGGATATTTAAAGTTTAAATGTCTATAGATTAACGGCCTTCTTGAGTTGATCGCTGTCCATCTGGCATTGGGCGAATCTGGTGGCGCAGTCTTCGTTCGAACGGCTCGCCGTCGCCGCCTCTTTGTAGAAGGCAGCGGACTGCTGGCTGGACCGGGGACTGTACGCTCTGGAAGTACAAAAAAAAAAAAAAAAAAAAAAGGAACGTTTTGGGAATTACAATTGGAAAGATACACAAACGTGCACGCAAAATACCACTTTCTTCACTATGATAAGGCGCGATTTTTTTTTTTTTTTTTTTTGTAAAGGACAGGTTATTTTAATGGTGATTTATGAATGACTAATATAAGTTTCTGATCTATTAAAGTAGTCATTCAGCGAGGTGTGCCGCGTATGACAATTTGTTTTGTGCGGATTATGCACCGTGTCCGGACCACGCACCGTCTGCGGACTGTAGACAAGAAAACGCGGTACTAGTTTTCAGCGTGATGCAAAATGGCATGACTAACTCAAAACGTGGAGTGAAACGATCGTTTTACTCGAGACTTGCACGTAACTTAAATACTCTACTCAAGTTACTGTATCTTAAATACTTTTGTGAGTAACTTGGTATCTTGCAAATACTTTCGAACGTCAGTATTGACAACTCTAACTTAAATACTCTTTTCAAGTAACTTGTACTCATTTTAAAGTTACTTCCTATTTTTGTTGAAATATTGAACTAGGCGCCCTGCCATTGCAGACACATTTCGTGCCAGGTAATGCAGTGCACTTCCGTGCTTCTGCTGAGAATGGTGACACGGAGAAGCAAGTATCGCAGCCTCAAGCCGAGCGGACGGGTGTTTTGTCTTCTAACTTGGAAAAACGTCAAAGCACATTTTCTTACAATTTGTTTGTGGTCAAGCCCAAGAGCAACAGAGATTCCGAAGCGAAGGGCATGCGGGTGAAAGCATAAGATGTGCACACGGCTACAAGCCAGAGGGGAGGGCACTTGTGTCGGAGAGACGGTGGGTTCTACAAGTGTCTGGTAAGAGTCGACAGTAAACCGGAGTTTATTTTTCTATGTTATGGAGTGAAAGCATATAAAAGAAAGCCCTCCAGCTTCAGAAATGCCTTTGCATCCGCACGCAGTCGCACACACCGCTCGTTCGTTTCACAAGGCTCTCTTCGCACACAAGACTCGTAAGACGCGACTACACGGCGCCAATCCGGCGGCCCATCGCTGGCGGCGTACGCAGCATTGTCTTCGGTAGCACGAATGACCGCCGAACGGCTATGCGGCATCGGCGGACATGTGTTTTAAAAAAAACAGGGGGTGACTATCGGGCACGAATTTCGATAAGCAGCTGTTCCTGCAAGGGAACAAAGCTTTTTTGGTCATGGCGTTCTGATTCTCACAAGTGAATAAAGGTTGATTGAATTACGTTTTTATTTTTGTTTCATTCGTAGTTACTTGGGACTTCATAGAAGCTTGAGTGGCAGTCAAAGTCTAGCTAAGAGATTTCCAGGAGATTCCATAGTAGCTGGGAGGAAGAATTTTTTCTGACTTCGGTTGAGCTTGGCAATGAATTGCAGAGATGATTGTAACTTGAGAGTATCTTGAAAGTAACGAGTTGCTTTTGCGGAGTATTTTGTACTTTATTCAATTACTTTACAAATTTTAGTACTCAACTCCGTTACTATTTTTACTGTAATTTACTCTCAACGAAACACGTTCGACGCCATGAACAACCAGGGTTATACGCGATACTCGGAAATTTTTAATGAGGAATGGCGGCCAACAGCACCATTTCTAAATTGAGCATTTCCGAAAATAGCTTATAACGAAAGGATAAAGCAAGTTTGCAGTGAGGCGAACACGGTTATTTTTTTCTCTCGTACACCGATGCATTGTGAATAAGCGAATTCGTTAGACACTTTGACTGTTTGATATTGCATTTTAAACATAGAGAAATAATGACATGTCACGTCTTCAGGTTACCGAGCATTCTCGCATAGCGGATCATCATAAGCAGCACATATTCAGGAACCAGTTCGTAAATGAAAGGCAAGCATAAAGCCAGCCACTAATGCTGGCTAAAGCGGTGAACTAAAGAGAAGCCGACACTTACCTAAAGAAACTGTCGATTTGCTTGGCGTACGCGCCAAAGCCGTTCGGCTCTGTGGACATCATGCAGATGAGTCTCGCCAGGCACTGGTCCTCGTCGTGGGCCCTGATGAACTGAAAGTACTCCTCCACCTGGTCATCTGGAACCGTTGCGTTGCTGAACTCGGTGGACTCTGGCTCGACAGTCGGGGTCGGCTCGTCATCGGATGCGCTGCGACGTTTCCTTTCCTCGTGGACGCTAGAAGACGCTTGTGTGGAGTCCGGTGACTCAGCAGAGGTATGGGGACTCTGGACATTGGGCTTTCCAAACATCTCCGTATTATGATTAGAGGTACCTTCGGACTGGACATCATTAGCAGCTGCTTGCAGTTCCTGAAGGTCTGGAAACTGGCTTCCAGGAATGACCACGTCTTGTTCGTTTGAAGAGGAAGAAGGCGCGTCGGCAGTGGAAGTTTGAGAAAAAGCGGGAGACTCCTGCTGCTGCAAAAGTGGGAAGAGGTTGGGTGCCACTGGGGACGGAATCTGTTGCAGGACTTGCGAAGCCTGTCGTTGCAGACCGCTCTGGAACTCGGCCAGCCTGCTGGGAATTTGCTCGAGGGACGACATTGGAAGTTCTGGTGCGACCCATTGCCCGTAGGGAAACACGTGAGAATGCGAGGAGGATGCTCCTGGGAGCTTCTGAAGAGTTCCCTGGGAATCCTCAGCGAGTTCAGTTGGCTCAGTATGATCCGGGTACTGATCCCCAGAAGAATGAGCCTCGGTCGGAGGTGCTTCCAACTGGCTCTGTGGCTGCTGCTGCTGTTGCTCAAGGTGTTGTTGGTACTGGTGAAGAAGTTGCTGATTATGCTGGTGCTGTTCATGCTGTTTCTGATCGAACTGTTGCTGCTGGGATTCATGTTCGTATTGCTGATGATGTGACTGTTGCTGCTGTTCAGACTGTTGTTGATACTGGTGAAGAAGTTGCTGATGATGTTTTTGCTCATCGAATTGTTGCTGCTCAGATTGCTGAAGGTGCCAGAGTTGTGCTGGGACGTGAGAATACTGGGGTTGAGGAAGATCCTGCGTCACCACAGCCACTCTCATGAGCTCGCCGCCTGTCGTTCCGGCAGAGATAAACTCCTTGTACTGGTCGAGTGGCAGGGAGATCGTCAAGGTCGGCGCGTGTTGCTGTTGATGTTGCTGTCCGTTGGCATGGTTGAGCACAGCGTAACCGGATTCGAAGTGCTTCTTGAATTCTTCGATCTGTTGATCTAGCACCTCTTGTGGAATCGGCAGGATTTGGCTCTCGACGTGGGCGCTGGGCGGCAACGCCACGTCCTCAACGACCGCCACTTGGTCTGGTTCCACGATGGTTGGTCTCTCGGCAATTTTGAGGTTGACGCTGGCTTTGACGGCGCGGTCACCCGTAATGTAGGACATCAGCCTGGCGGTCGTGCCCAGCTTGTAGTTGGCCAGGCTCCTGAAGCCGGAAGTGAAGTAGCTGAGTGGAGACAGCAGGCTGATTCCACTTGTGGAGGCCCATGTCAGCGAGAGGAAGAGCAAGAGCGCCGGGAAGTGCATCTGTGGGTAGGAAAACATTTGAGTATCAACAAATCTACAAATATTTTTGTGCAGAAGATGCCACTGTCACACTGCTAATACAACGTACAAGAGACTGTCTGAAGACACTATCTGTGTCTCTTCCTTGTATGACGGTCATATTGATCATAGAAAAAACTGTCTGCTGACATGTTCCAAGCATCACGTATGTACGAAGCATTAACGATTACTTTAGATAGGAATGGGCTCGTAACATTAACTAAACGAATACATATATTCATTAAAATAAAAGTGGAAGTAGGAACCGCTTTCTGAGTACGGCGCCGCCCCACGCAAGGCTAAAGGGGTATTCACACGAGCTAGAAATTCTGGGGATTTTACCCGGGCGCGCGTATCACGCGACGGATACGTCAGGCTCTCGCGATGCGGCGCCGTGACGTCAGCCACGCGACTGTTGTGTTGTGCGGGAAAGTAGGCGCACGGACTTTTTTTAGAGTGCACGTTCACGCTTGTTGCCTCGTGATTTGACCTCCAGCGCGATACTTTAAAGGAGCGATGCAACAATTTTTGTACTTTGCGAAAATACCGCTGAAAACGGATCCCTAACGTTAATGACATATGAAACACGCGTTCGTTCTTCACACCACGCAATAGAAGTCCCAGAAAAAAAAATTAAGAAAAACGGGCAGCGTTCACCCCCTCAACTCACAGCCAGAACAAGCGGCCACGTGATCTGGAGCCGATTATATGCCGCCAATGTTGATCATAGCCACGCGCTGGGGTTGGCAAAGCGCAGGACACGCGCTGAGTTCCAGACATTGTTATGGCTCGGCTGTTGTCGTCGTTGCAGCGATTGGACACGGGTCACTACCCGAATGCTTCTCGAGCTAGCAATTATCACGGGCCCAAGTCGAGTGCCCACGCAATGCTCGGGTCCAATCTATTAACCGCATTCAAATATCGTCACTTGGGTGTCCTGCGATCCCCACGTTACGTCATCAAATTTTGCAAAGGAGAGATTGAATGAAAATGATCGCTTTTGTTTTTTGACGTTACACCGCAACAAAGGAGTTTCTTGGCCAGTGGCGTTGCGTGTAGGTATTCTTGAGTCCCAGGTGTGCCAGTAAGCTCGTGTAGAGTGAAAAACATTCCAATTGAATACCGTTGCCAAGGTCCTTTAAGAGACACCGTTTCCTAAAGTGGGTTCACACATGCACTTGTGTGTGAGTTCGACGGAGTGCGACTGCAACGGCTCGCGATGTACGGGTTGCTATGGCAGCAGCTGCGACGGCTCCAACAAAGCGGGGTAAAAACCGGTCACGTTGGAACCGACGCAGCTGTTATTATTACAGTAGATATTATTACAATGGATACTGATTCTTGAAAAAAAAAAAAAAAACAGGAACCGAGGGTATCATGGGGTGGTTCGGAGCGGAGACCTGAAAAGGAGTTTGTTTTGAATTGGTCTAATGTATATATAGATGGAACAAGGCGGGGCCCTGAAATAGACTTTGCCTTGAACTACTTAGAGGTATATTGTAGGGAACACAGGGGAAAGTATACCTCTTGAAACAAGGTGGGACTATCACTGAGCGGACCATAAACCCACATGGCTACATAATAGGAGAAAAATATTCAAATTCATTACTACGAAGTTTTAGTTTTAGAATACGGGGAGGGGAAGGGGGGGGGGGGGTTGGAACAGTAATTTAGATTACACCTAAAGTAATAAAATAAACAAACATTGACCCAATAATACATATTTGTCTTCTTTTATATTAGATTGAAAAAAAAAAGCAAAAGAAACCAGAGAAGAAACCTCGTCATCGTCTCAATTAAAAAAAATAATAATAATCTAAAAAAAACAAGGCCAAGACGTACAAAACTAAATGGTCAATATTTTAAGTTACGGCATTTTTACCCTGAATTTATACTCGATAAAAGCCCGCTGACTACACACAAGCCCGTACCCGATCTAGTAGTTTCGCTGCCTCCCAGTTTTTCTTTGTTGATTGGCTTTTAAATCTAAATTTCCTTTTTGGTCATGTTAAACCCTATTTATTTATTTATTTTTAAATGGTTTCAACCTGTTGTACCATTTGGTGGTGCAGATAGACAAATTTTAAATTTATTCATTTTAGCTCACTTAGAAAATGAAAATCTTGCCATAGCAAAGCAAACCGCACGTCGCGAGTGTGGGAATCGCCCTTTAAAGTCCGACGTATTACAACTCCGGTTTTCTGGAGGGAATATAGACCTTTTAAAGAACCCCTCTCTCTCTCTCCTAAGCTGCGGGGGGGGGGGGGGGGGGGGGGGGTCAAGTTGGGCCAATCAAGCATCGTGAAAAGTCCATCGTCACGTCGCTCGTTTTCCTCGTGGGTTCGCTTAAAGTTCCTAGATGAGAGCTTCTTACAAGGATCGACATTCTTTGAAGCGCCGACTGCGTGACGGTGCACGTTTCAGGAAGCGAATGGCGGCGCACAGCAGAAGACTGAACTGAATGCCGCCATTTTGTTCCAGCGCAATGTGCTTTGTCATTTGTGTTGGTTGTCGTTACTACTTGTAAAAGGAGTATCGATGGACTTTAGGTTTGCTATCCCCAAGTCAACCAACTACGCACAAATGTAAAAAAAAAAAAAAACAGTATTACAGCACATTCACTGGACGTGATCGGCGATTGGTGTAGCCAGTGATAGGAAACGCACAAGAAAGACGAGCGCCGTTGTGACGATGCAATCTTGGCGCTGCGTGATTGGCACCGCCGAATCGTAGCGTGGGCTACGATCGGACCGTACACGCGATTTTCGCGAATATCAGGAACCGTGTGCACTTCCGGCAGCTGCCATGTTGCCTACTGACGTAGATGAGTTGGGGCAAAGTAAATAGGAAACCACTTCATGTGCCGATTGGAAGGTGCTATACTTTGTCTCATCCTACGATGGACACCGACCTGGCTTTGGCCACCGGCCGCCAGGTCCAATCACGTTTGAAGCGAAGCTATGATACATTGTTCCGGGATGGACGAATAATGCTCCGAATCAAAAGAGGGCTGCATCATTTCTACTGCTTCGACACTGCAAGAAACCTGCATGCTGTGGCTTTCTTTGCAATGTAAAATTGATGAGTCACTCATGTGCTATTCCATTTGCACCGCCGTCCGCCCATCCCCATCACTGATCAGAGATCCGGGCAGCGATACGTGCGTCGAAGCGAAATTTACCGCGCAATTTCTAAGTGGCTCGTGATTCGATCTGGCGGTCCCTAGCTTTTGTCTCCGCCGCAAGCGTCGCTCGACGATTGGAGCGGAGACAAAAGCAGCAAGCTTTAGGCCTGGTTCACACTTGCGAATCGGCGGGCGAATATGAAAGAATTCGGCCGCCGGGCGTAGCGTCCACTGTGCATTGCCGCGGCTGATTCCACTTCGGCGGCAGCGGATTAGCTGTAAGTGTGACCCAGGCCTTAGTGTCTTCCCACTAATCATTCCAACCAGAGCTCGGCGTTCTAACGTCCCCCACGCGCTCTCCTCTCCTCCTCTCCCTCAGTTTCTCGGCACATAGATGCCGACGAACCCAGTAGGCACCGGATAGGTAGCAAGGCCGCTGTGACAGAATTTATACGTCATCTACCGAAGGCCGTGGCGGAGAATACATGGGACACATATGGGACAGTGCTACGTCAGCGATCGGCTACAACTCGTGCCCAATCACAGGGAAACTTCAGCCGAACGCTGACCGGAGCTCGCGTCCAATACGGAGGGCAAGTTCGTCTGCTTCTTGCCCCAGGAGTTGCGGTGACGTCAGAACGACGCCGAGCTGTGATTGGCTTTGGTTAGAAGGATAGTGGGTAGACCTCAGTGCTAGCTTATTAATATATATATATATTTTTTTCAATCAGCCGATAAGAGTTCGGCGTTCTGTCATCATCGCAACCGCTGTGCCAGAAGCAGACGAACTTACGCTCCGTATATGTAATTGGTGCTGATCTTCGGTACGGGACAAGAAAATGTAACACTACGGTCTTGCATCCCCAGGGGCAGCACCTCTCACTTCTTTCTACTTTAGTAGAGCAAACGCGGGAGAAGAGGCGCCCTCCTCTCTAGCATCCACTCTGCTAAGATGGAGGAGGTGGAAGGGGCTTACCCTGAATTCTTAACCTCTCACCGATTGTAGGTGCTCTTGACAAAGTTAAAAGAAAAGTTCGGGTCAGTTTATGCTGCCTCATCTCTAGATACTCGTTGGAAGGGGGCAAGATTGATGTAGCCTATCTTTGTGCACAGGGAAACTATTTATATAACGCAGGAGCATTAGATTCGAACCGGGTTCTGCTGCGGGCTACAGTTAACTTAAACACAACATCAACCTGTTTTTTGTTGTTGTTGTTTTCTTCTTCTTTTTTTTTGCGCTTAGGATTTGACAACAACCTTTGAATTCTAGAAAAAAAAAAGTAAAGGTCGGCGATTGCATGATTGTGGTGTACCGCACTCTTTAGAGTGCGCGACACGCTGAGCACAAACAAGCAATAGATTTTTTTTTTTTTTTTTAGTTTTTTTTACAACTGGAAAGGGCCGGTGACTATGGTACAGAGGTGGCCAGAGTGGCATGGTGTTAGAGCCGGAGACAAAGTTATGCAAAAATTCAAAGAGCAGCAGGAAAAGAAGAAAGAAAGAAAAAAAGGTGTGTGTGTGTAAGGGGGGTGGGGGGCTACTTTTAAGAAGAAACCATATGAAGGGAACAATCGTTTCCAAAGGGGACGAGTCAAATTATCGGCTACAACAAATAATGCAAGGCAGCAGAACGTTTCTTCAGCCGCTAAACAAAAATGAATGCATGGTTCGCTAGCCAGCCACTGCCCATGACGCCCGCTATGCGTGTCAAAAAGCAGTCCAGCTGTATGTACGCACTGTAGTACAAAACCGCCAAGACTAAGCTGCTTTTTTATTTTTTTTTTTTTACTTTGGAACTTTGTTAAGGGGGGCGCGCTTACCAGGGAGCCGCGAGCCGGACTTGGACCCGCAAAAAGCCGCATGCGGCTCGCGAGCCGCATTTTGCCCACATCTGCTATAATAGTTCCTACTATACTTTCTACCATGGTATTTGCTACTACAGTAACGGACAGCCTGAGAATGCCAGGGAGGTTCCGCCTCCAGCGCGAGCTTTCTATGCTGTCCCGTGAGCCTCGAGCATGCACGCGCAGCCGAAGCACGACGGAAGGCGAAGAGCGCGTGCAGGAGGCCGGGCATCCAAGAAAAACGCACTGCCGTCTTCATCCTGTTAGTTTCAGAGCAGGCTATTGATGTGAGATGGTTCCCAGCATGCGCTCGGAACATCGCTCAT